CAAGGGAAACAAATTCAAACCATCCAAACTAGATATTCTTATTTAAGAAAAATTCTTATCACCTGATACAGTAATTTTCATCTTTTTCAAGTTGTTTTTTTTTACTTCCCTTCATTCAAAACGTCTGCTTTGGCAGTGTAATATTATTTGGAAAGAAAGGGGAAAAATTTTACAGCTGTTCAAATTACCTCATAAACTGGACCTTGAGAAATTAGGTAGCAATTTTCATTGATTAGATAAAATATCAGCACTCTGTGGTTAAAGTTATAGTAAATTTACAGACAGGAAAAGCATGGTATTTTAAATTCAAAGCGTGTATCCTCACAGATTTTTCCACTGCATAAGGTCTGTTACTTTACTCATACATTGAATGTAATATATTAATTGCATTTTAATGTATATGCATCCCATGGATTGCTGAACACTTACTGGTTATTTGTTCTGATTTTACTGATTGATAGTGTTTGCTTAATTATTTCCCCTGGGGCCTGAAAAAGATATTAAAAAGTACTTTTTTTTGTAACTGGCTATTTTAAAGTTGTGCTGGAGAGTATTGATTGCAATATCTTAAACTTCTTCTGTATCATGGTATTTGTGATACTTGTGTAAAATTATTTGTTTATGACACAGCTATATAGATGTTAAAGAAATACAAACTATCAACACATCTATTTATATTTTTCTGGTTTAATCTGGTCTTTTGTTTTCTGCTATTTTTATTTTTGTTTATCACAATCTTTTCAGTAGTATGGAATCAGATTAAAACTGGAATGTATTTGTTAATTCTTGTTCTGTTACTCTATATCTATTTTTTTCCTAAAAATGGAACGTACATTCATACATCAAAAGAGATGCCATATTCACAAACATACTTGATGTTCATTGTTAAAATGCATTGTATCATTTCATCCTTTATAAACTCTCAAGGGACTCTTTGCAAAGAGTCACTGTGGACTGAATAGAATTGAAGATTTCTAGTACCTGATACCCTATAGAAATTATATGCACAGGAAATACACAGGGGTTTGTAGAAAATATGTCAGAGAAGAGGCAAAGATTAGTGAATTTAGTGAGGAGAGAAAAAAGCCAAACCTCATATTCATTACAGGTGAAACCAGGTAATTTTCAAAATTTGAATGAGTGTAAATATTAATGGGGCAGAGCAGTGGGCAGTAATTCATAGATCGATTGTTTTCTTTATATAAGAGGAACTCAGCTGCAGTGTTTTTTGACCAGTCTTCAATGTTATTTTAAATGGAAGCATCTTCTAAGATTAGCCACTGATGGTGAAAGTGCTCTGAACTTGAATTCAACTGATTAATGATCATATGGGGCCAATCGAGGCTACCCAGAACTAATATGCTCCGTCTATATTTAAGTCTCTTATATTTACAACTTTCAAGTGAACATCAATCCAATGTCTGCTTCCCTATAGTTATTTTGATATTTTGGAAATTCAATTTCAGTATGTTATTAATTATGTATTGTAATTCTTAAGAATGACAACAGGCTAATTTAGGTTAATTTAATGTAAAAATCTTTTCGGTCTGAATGCGATTAAGAATGAGATGTTTATTGGACAAACCCTGCAATGCCAGTTGCTACCACTTAAATGTACATCTCTCAGTGAGACAGTAAGTAAAGACAAGGCAACTAGTTTATTTTATTTAATGCTTCATTTCTATCAAAAGAAATATTTCTAATACAGCAAGACATAGAAGCCAGCTTATACCATAAAGTCAAACAGATTTGATAGTGAAAATTATGAAACAGTAAGTCCAACGGAGGCAGATTGTCAAAGTTGGATATGCTCAGCTGCATGCAGTACAATCTTGCATACATAATTTGTGTGCACAAATAACACATAAATTGTGCCTTGGCTGGCAGACACCACTAGGTAAACATAACATCCGTCTGCAGTATATGAATGAACCATAATGATAACTTTTTCGGGCAGTTTGTGAATTCAGACCTGTACTGTAGGTTGCCCCTTGTATCCACCTGGTAGAAGGTAGAGAGATGAGGAACTATAAGGTTTGGCATATTACTCGCTCTGTGGGCTACTCACATTGTGCGTCTTAACACAGCAAGGAGAGCTGCTGCTAAAAAGCCACCTATCCCCCTCGTATGCAAGCGGGTACAGCAGGCGAGAGTGAAGTTTTGGTCCTTCTTTTTTCCAGGGAAGTTAAATAGAAGACATATTCTAGTGTAGGTGCAGGACTAGCACAGAGTGCTTACTCCCTGTATCAGGGCAGGAGGCTCCATAGTAACTCAGAGGCCTGTGGGATTTAATTTAAATCCTCTAGATTTCAGAAAGGTCTTCAGTCAACCCCCCCTTTGGATAGACCTGTTAATACAACTTCATGTTGTCTCTAAGTCACGTCAGGTTGTGTTCTTGAAACTTAGACATACAATACACCGTGTTTGGAGGAATTTAAGAAAAGTATTTTGGCAGAACAGAATTGGGGGGTGTAAATGTTTTAAATTCATTTATTGCATGGCAGTTAGTCTTAAACAGAAGGATTACTTTTATTTCCTTCATACAGAGTTGTATGTGTTTTGTCCCCTTTCATGCTGTTCTGACAGCATGGTAAGAATTTCAGGGAGAATGAACAAGGGTGGAACTTGTCAAAACAAAAACATTTTGAGTTTACCATCACTAGCATAATGAATATTCAAACACAGAGCTGCAATAAAATAGTACCTTCCAGTGATTTTTTTTCCGGATTAAAGTCGCTATCAAATTTAGTTGCAAATATATTGAACTCTCACTGTAAAAGATGTACAAAAGTTAAAACCTAATCCCCTGATTTAAGAATGATTATACAGTGATGGCAATTCCATATTCAGTTCGAGTCCACAAAGTGTTACATCCTTTTTAAAATCTTTTATTAATGTTGATTTCTCACTTATGAGCTAATATGTCTTAAGCTATACTTTCTTGAAATGTGTTTAGTATATGATTAGCATGTTACTTACAAATGGCTTGTCCTGTTAACGTTGAAAATGATACAGGAGAGATGAAGGGATTCAGAGCTGGGTTATATTTGCCTTCAGCTTTAATATCTAACTTTTTTTTTCCTAAACATAAATGTTTAAGTATGTTCTGTACTTAATAATCATAACATTTTGACAATTTTGTGAAGCATAGGGTAAGACTTTTATATATCCAAGAGTCAACATTTATCATTTA